ATAAATCGTTCATTAGGTATGAGTCCATTTGAAGCCGTTCATGGGTACTAGCCTAGGAAACCGTTAGATCTCATCCCTATGTCCCCACAGGCTAGAGTGTCAGTATTAGCCGAAGCATTTGCACAACATCTTCGTGACTTGCATATTGAGATCAATAAACAACTTGAAGCTAGTAATGCAAAATATAAACTCCAAACTGATTTACACAAACGACATATTGAGTTTAACATTGGGGATTACGTTATGGTTCGCATTAGGCCAGAGCGGTGTCTACATGGACCCGCCTCTAAATTGCAAGCTCGTAGTGCTGGTCCTTTTAAAATTTTAAAGCAGATTGGTCCAAATGCATATATTGTTGACATTCCACCACACCTTGGTTACCACTCTACTTTCAATGTTGAGGACCATGTAGCTTATAAAGGTCATTTCATTCCCTCAGATGATCCTCTGTCATCTGCTATTGTGGACCTTGACCCTGATTTTTTGACCCCTTCTAACCCACTACCACCTCTCACAGCACACAAAGAAAAAATTGATGCTATTTTAGATGAAGAAACTGTGTTCACTAATGATGGGGAGGTTCAGCGCTTCCTTGTTCGTTAGGTTGGTCGACCAGATTGTGACTGTGCATGGATCTCCAGAGAGACACTACAGCAATTGGACCCAGATTTGTTAGAGTTTTATCGGAGTCAACAGGATCTTCATTGGCCCAGATTGCCTCCCATCCACCCGAGAGGAGTTGGTGAGGACACCAGGTTCAGATCGCCATTGACGCATTTCTACAGACGCCGGAAGAAACTTGCCCAGCCACTCAGCCTATGGTTGGGAGATTGACGGATGCCTATGGTGATATAGTCACTCGACAGGGTCAAGTTTTCTCTCCCACCCCGGGAGAATCGATGAGGACATCCCAGTCCATTTTAATTACTTTAGCAGTTTTAATTATTTTAGTTGGATTTAGGTTGTTTTTAATTTTATGTACTTGTGTATTGGGCTTGGCCCTAGGTTTGC